ATCAATGTGGCAGAAATGAAATGGATCAAGAGCTCACTAAATTGATTGAATTGCCAGTTTTTATGCACTTTGATCTGTACAGTGTGCAAAGTTCAGGAATGAACTTTCTTGATGATTTCTCGGCATGGCTACCATACTTTCTCTTCTCTGAGGTGCCTGCCATCATCCTCTGTGACTTTAACATCCCAGTCAATGTTAACACCTCAACCACTTCTCAACCACTCAACCTAACTTCCTCTTTTAACCTAACACAATGGACATAATCCACCACCCACTCTAACAGCAACACCCTTGACCTTGTATTCTCCCACCTTTGCACTCCCTCTAACCTCTCTAACACCCCTTTTCCTCTCTCTGATCACAACTTTTTCAGTTTCACACTCTCCCTGCCTCCTACCTCCCATGCCTCCAACCAGCAAACCGTTACCTGTAGAAACCTCCACCACCTCAGCCCTGAGCTTCTTCACTCTGCTACTTAGTGCTTCCATGGTAAAATTGCGTCCCTGTCCCGCCCAGACCTGGCCACATCTGGCTACAACAACAATCTATCATCCTCCCTGGACACACTTGCTCCTCTTTCTACAAGCAGAACCAGACCTCGCCTGTCACAACATTGGCAAACAGATGACACCAGAAATCTCAAGAGACGCAGCCATGCTCTTCAGCAAGCATGGCGTAAAACTAAATCCCTGCAAGAGTTTACCCTCTACAAATCCATACTTCTGAAATACAACTCCAGCCACCACACTGCTAAATAAGCCTACTACAACACTTTCATCAAAACCCTCTCATTCAATCCTCATCAACTCTTTTCCTCCCTTAATTCCTTACTCCACGCCCCCACTGCCTCCACCCACCAACGTATTTACTGCACAGGAGATTGGCAGTCATTTCAAGAACAATATGAACACAATTCGTGATTAGATCTCCAGTGTCTAGCGTCCTCCTGCAACCAACATACCAAGCCCAACACCACACTCAACACTCTCCTCCTTCGACCCTGTTACCACCGAAGAAGTTACCGAACTCCTTTCCAAGGCTCACTTCACCACCTGTCCCCTGGACCCTGTCCCCTCATGAATATTGCAGCCTCCTTCCTGCTCTATCCTAAACTCTCTAACCCACATCTTCAACCTCTCACTCTCCATGGGCACCTTTCCCTCCCCGCTCAAACATGCACTGGTTACCTCCATGCTTATAAAACCCTCGCTGGACCCCACCTGTTTGAATAACTTAAAGCGGAGTTCCACTCACTCTGTAAAAAAATAAAAGTCAGCAGCTACAAAAACTCACCTGTCCCACGATCTGGCATTGCCTCCGCCGCAGCCCGTTTCAATGGCCGTCCTGTATTCCAGGCGCTGGCATCTTCAGTGTGGGCACCTGGCTGTGACAGCTTGTGGCTTCAACTGCGCACAGGTAGCGCTGCGCTGCCTGAATGGCCCCGTCATCTTCTGGGACCAGTCACGTGTCCCACAAGACTTTGGGGGAGGGACGGTAGGAGGACAACTTCTGTTTCCGATCGTCTAGGCGATCGCAGCGGAAGTGGGAGCGTGTACCTGTCAAATTCGCGTACCCGTTCCCCCCTTGCTCCCCAAAGGTGCCAATACTTAATGGGGAGCCGGGGACCAATCTTTAAAGTGGAACTTCCCCTTTTGGGTGGAACACCGCTTTAAGACCCATCTCCCTGCTTCCGTTTGCCTCCAAGCTTCTCAAGTGCCTTGTTAATAACCGTATGAACAGCTACCTCACCGACAACAACCTTCTTGATCCCCTTTCCTCCTCCCCGATCCACTCATGACTTTACTATTAAGATCAACAGCACAACCATTAGTCCTTTCCCTCATGCTAGGGTGCTAGGTGTACTCCTAGACCAGCAATGGGCAAACTACGGCCCGGCGGACCTTTTAATCCGGCCCGCGGAGCGTGATACATTGGCTGTCAGGATGTGTGTAGGCGGGGCAGCGTGACGAACGTGAGGGAAGCTAGGCTCCTCTCAGAGTCCGCCCTGAAGACTGGAATGGCGCGGGAACACGGCGAGAGGAACGCGCGGAGCAAAGGTAAGTGAATTGACACAGGGGGGACTTGGCTTACTACTTGGGGGGGAATAGTACTATGGGGGATGAAATAATATGGGGAATGAATTACTATAGGGGGGATGAATTACTATAGGGGGGATGAATTACTATGGGGGATGAATTACTATATGGGGGATGAATTACTATGGGGGATGAATTACTATATGGGGGGTGAATTACTATGGGGGATGAATTACTATGGGGGATGAATTACTATATGGGGGATGAATTACTATGGGGGATGAATTACTATATGGGGGATGAATTACTATGGCGGATGGATTACTATATGGGGGATGAATTACTATGGGGGATGAATTACTATATGGGGGATGAATTACTATGGGGGATTAATTACTATGGGGGATGAATTACTATATGGGGGATGAATTACTATGGGGGATGAATTACTATGGGGGATGAATTACTATAGGGGGGATGAATTACTATATGGGGGATGAATTACTATGGGGGATGAATTACTATATGGGGGATGAATTACTATATGGGGATGAATTACTATGGGGGATGAATTCCTATGGGGGATGAATTACTATATGGGGGATTAATTACTATGCTTACTATGGGGGAATATTACTATACTTACTATGGATGACACATACACATCATTCATCTACTCTTGGTCCGGCCCCCGGGTCCAATATATGAACCCATTGCAGCCCTCAAGTCAAAAAGTTTGCCCACCCCTGTCCTAGACTCTGACCTCTCCTTTGCGCCCCACATCCAATCACTGGCTAAATTTTGCCGCTTCAACCTTTGGAACATTTCCAAAATCCGCCCCTTTCTGACCAATGACACCAGAAAACAATTTATCCACGCCTTGGTTTTATCCCGCCTTGATTACTGCAACTCCCTCCTCACTGGTCTACCATTACACAGGTTGTCCGCCTTCAGTCTATTATGAATGCTGCTGCTAGACTTATACACCTTACCAACCAATCAGTGACTGCTGCCCCTCTCTGCTGATCCCTTAATTGGCTTCCACTAGCCCAACATATAAAATTCTAAATACTAACCACAGCATACAAAGCCATCCACAACACTGCCACTAGCCACATCACCTCATCCTGTCAGGGCTCCGGGTATGACCAGAGGTGTGTGGACTGACACAGGGAAATGCAGGCTTCAGATATGGTATAAACAATATGATTTATTAAGACTAACAATACAAAACGCAGTGCAAAACTAAACATAAACACAGTGCAAACAAACCAAACCACCTACAGATAACAATACATACAATGCAAGAGTCGTCAGGCAGGCCGGGTCAGTAGCAAACGGGCAAACGGAGTACCAGGAACAGGCGGGAGAGTGGTCGGGGTCACAAGCTGGGTTCAGTAACTCACGGGCAGCGCGGTGCAGAGGGTCAGGCAGAGAATGGTCAGGGTCACAAGCCAGGGATCAAACAGGAGAAGTCAGCAGAGGTCAGGATCAGGCAGGGTCGGCAACAAGTCAGGCAGAAACAGGAACAGGAACACAGGATAGAAGATACAGGGGCCCATGGAAAAACACACACCAAGGCCCTGACTGTGAGTCTAGCCATTCCTTAAATACAACCCCTGCAATCAGCTTCAGGTATTTGGCTGACTGCAGGGGTGAGTCTCTGATTGCTGAGAGCACCCACTGGCCAGCCCTGGTACTGCAGCCCACAAGGCAGATGAGTCCCACCATTATTGGCAAGTCCATTCCTGACAGTACCCCCCCCTCAAGGAGCGGCCTCAGGACGCTCCAAACACTCCTAGCTGGGCAAAGTGTTCCGCCGCCTGGGTCCGGTAACTGGCGGGATATCAAAGACTGGCACATCGGGCTGGGCACCGGACAGAGGCACATCGGGCTGGGCGCCGTACAGAGGCACATCGGGCTGGGCGCCGGACAGAGGCACATCGGGCTGGGCGCCGGACAGAGGCACATCGGGCTGGGCGCCGGACAGAGGCACATCTGGCTGGGCGCCGGACAGAGGCACATCGGGCTGGACGCCGGACAGAGGCACATCGGGCTGGACGCCGGACAGAGGCACATCGGGCTGGACGCCGGACAGAGGCACATCGGGCTGGACGCCGGACAGAGGCACATCCACATCGGGCTGGATGCAGGACAGAGGCACATCAGGCTGGACACCGGATCACCAGGCGGAGCAGCAGGCATTGGGCCACCAGGCGGAGCAGCAGGCACCGAGTCATCTGGCAAGACAGCGGGCACCTAGTCATCTGACAAGACTGCGGGCACCGAGTCATCTGGCAAGACCGCGGGCACCAAGTCATCTGGCAAGACCGCGGGCCCCGAGTCATCAGGCGCGACAGCGAGCTTTGAGTCAACCGGCATGACAGCGGGCTCCGAGTCAACCGGCACGACAGCGGGCACCGGGTCATCAGGTACCGGATCGTCTGGCTTGGCGCGGGCACCGGGTCATCTGACTCGGCAGCGGGCATCGGGTCACCAGGTACGACAGCAGGCAACGGGTCATCAGACATTGGATCGTCTTGCTCAACAGCGGGCACCGGGTCATCTGGCTCAACAGCGGGCATCGGGTCACCAGGCATGACAGCGGGCACTGGGTCATCAGGCATTGGACGTCTGCCTCGACAGCGGGCATCGAGTCATCAGGCACGACAGCGGGCATTGGGTCACCAGGCATGACAGCGGGCACCGGGTCACCAGGCATCAGGTCATCTGGCTCGACAGCGGGCACCGAGTCATCTGGCAAGGCAGTGGGCACCGAGTCACCAGGCACGACAGCGGGCTCTGAGTCAACTGGCACGACAGCGGGCACCGGGTCATCTGGCTCGACAGCGGGCATTGGGTCTCCAAGTATGACAGCGGGCACTGGGTCATCAGGCATTGGATTGTCTGGCTCGACAGCGGGCATCGGGTCACCAGGCATGACAGCGGGCACTGGGTCATCAGGCATTGGATCGTCTGGCTCGACAGGGGGCATCGGGTCACCAGGCATCAGGTCATCTGGCTCGACAGCAGGCACCGAGTCATCTGGCAAGACAGTGGGCATTGGGTCACCAGGCATGACAGCGGGCACTGGGTCATCAGGCATTGGATCGTCTGGCTCGACAGCGGGCATCGGGTCACCAGGCATGACAGCGGGCACTGGGTCATCAGGCATTGGATCGTCTGGCTCGACAGCGGGCATCGGGTTACCAGGCATGACAGCGGGCACCAAGTCACCTGGCATGATAGGATCATTAGGCTGAATCAGTTCATCAGGCTGGGTACAGACATCAGGCTGGGTAGAGACATCAGGCTGAATTACGGGTGCCGAGGCACAAGGCTGAATCACGGAAGGTGGGTTCTCAGACGGCAGGCTGACCGGTTTGGATACTGGCAGGATGGTACTGGTTGGAAAGAATTTTCGCTTTTTTCTGGTTTTAGTTACTGGAGCACTGTAAGTAAACGCAGGTCTGTAAACGAATGGAGCAGCTAAACACAGAGAAAAGCTGGAGGATGGAACAGAGGAGGGAGCAGTTGCTACAGAGGACTTCTTTACAGGGTTAAAGAAAGGATAGGTGCAGCGAGTGGGAGCAGGGGACTGGTATGTGGTAGTTAGCAGAGTATACTGGGCCGTCACTGGGGGTGCTGTCGGGGATGCAGGAAGAGTGCCTTGAGCAGAGGAATGAAGTTGCAAGCTGACTAAGGCTAGGTGCAACAAATCTGTCCATGTCTGCAGTACTGGTTGAACAAAACTCAACTTACACATAGCCTGTCTGATCAAAGACTGCACTGCGTTTATGCAATCCATAAGTACATGTGATGGACAAGCTGCATAATGCTCATGGAAGCAATCTGGATCATCCTCCAACAACCACACCAGTGATTCCACTTGATCTGCACTGAATGGGGAAAAAAGTCATTCCTGCTTTCAGGGGTACAGGACCGAGCCAACTCAGCACAAACCTGGATCAATGGCTGCACCTCAGAAAACTCTGTGCCCTGATCTACTAGGCAATGAGCGATCCTTATGCACTCTAGAAGTTGATCCCTGGGATACTCCTTCAGAGTCTGATAAGCATAGTCTTTGTCATCAAACACCAGCAGAGATAAATACACCACCTCATCAAGATCCATCCTACCCAGCAACAATAAGCCAAGATGGCTTCCCTGTGCAGCCACTTCTGGTCAGGATTGGCCATGGTGTAATGTCAGGGCTCCGGGTATGACCAGAGGTGTGTGGACTGACACAGGGAAACGCAGGCTTCAGATATGGTATAAACAATATGATTTATTAAGACTAACAATACAAAACGCAGTGCAAAACTAAACATAAACACAGTGCAAACAAACCAAACCAAACCACCTACAGATAACAATACATACAATGCAAGAGTCGTCAGGCAGGCCGGGTCAGTAGCAAACGGGCAAACGGAGTACCAGGAACAGGCGGGAGAGTGGTCGGGGTCACAAGCTGGGTTCAGTAACTCACGGGCAGCGCGGTGCAGAGGGTCAGGCAGAGAATGGTCAGGGTCACAAGCCAGGGATCAAACAGGAGAAGTCAGCAGAGGTCAGGATCAGGCAGGGTCGGCAACAAGTCAGGCAGAAACAGGAACAGGAACACAGGATAGAAGATACAGGGGCCCATGGAAAAACACACACCAAGGCCCTGACTGTGAGTCTAGCCATTCCTTAAATACAACCCCTGCAATCAGCTTCAGGTGTTTGGCTGACTGCAGGGGTGAGTCTCTGATTGCTGAGAGCACCCGCTGGCCAGCCCTGGTACTGCAGCCCACAAGGCAGGTGAGTCCCACCATTATTCGCAAGTCCATTCCTGACACATCCGCTGATATCATCCAAATCGCCCGCTCCTTTCAAGGCATCTTGCTCTCTAGCCCCCTTGTCACCTCCTCACACGCTCACCTCCAGGACTTCTCCAGAGCCTCTCCCATCCTCTTGAACTCCCTACCACAGTATGTCCGATCAGCCCCCACCCTGATCTTTGAAAACTCACTTATTCAGGAAAGCCTACCCCTCCTCCACCTAAGAACTGAGCTTGAGCCACCTCCATCAGAACATCGCCTACAACTATCACCTTTTGTAGCACCTCCCCCTTCCTTTAGAGTGTAAGCTCCATAAGCAGGGCCCTCCAATTCCTTCTGTACTGAAATGTATTGTAATTATACTGTCTCCCTTATATTGTAAAGTGCTGAGCAAACTGTAGGCGCTATATAAATCCTGTAAAATAATAATAAAAATAATACACACGCAGGGCCGGGGCTCTGGAGTGTGCATTGTGCAGGCCTCTGGAGTGTGCATTGTGCAGACCTCTGGAGTGTGTCCTGCACAGGGTACAGAGCTCAGGAGTGCATATTGTAAAGCGCTGAGCAAACTGTTGGTGCTATATAAATCCTGTATAATAATAATAATAATATTGCACAGAGCTCAGTAGTGCATATTGTGAAGGGCTAAAAAGTGTGTATTGTGCAGGGGTTGGGAGTGTGAATTGTGAAGGGCTCAGGAGAGTGTATTGTGCAGGGCTTGGCAGTGTGTATTCTGCAGGGCTTAGGAGTGTGTAATGTGCAGGGCTCCAGAGTGTGTATTGTGCAGGGCTCGGGAGTACACATTGCACAGGATGCAGAGCTCAGGAGTACATTATGTGAAGGGCTCAGAAGTGTGTATTGTGCAGGGGTTGGGAGTGTGTATTGTGCAAGGCTCAGGAGTGTGTATTGTGCAAGGCTCAGGAGTGTGTATTGTGCAAGGCTCAGGAGTGTGTATTGTGCAAGGCTCAGGAGTGTATATTGTGCAGGGTTCACGAGTGTGTATTGTGCAGGGCTCCACAGTGCGTACTGCACAGAGTGCAGAGCTCAGGAGTGCATATTGTGCAGGGCTCAGTAGTGTGTATTGTGCAGGGCTCAGGAGTGTGTATTGTGCAGGGCTCAGTAGTGTGTATTTTGCAGGGCTCAGGAGTGTGTATTGTGCAGGGCTCAGGAGCGTGTATTCTGCAGGGCTCAGGAGTGTGTATTGTGCAGGGCTCTGGAGTACATATTGCACAGGGCGCAGAACACAGGAGTACATATTGTGAAGGGCTCAGAAGTGTGTATTGTAGAGGGCTCGGGAGTGTGTATTGTGCAGGGCTCAGGAATGTGTATTGTGCAGGGCTCTGGAGTACATATTTCACAGGGCGCAGAGCACAGGAGTACATATTGTGCAGGGCTCAGGAGTGTGTATTGTGCAGGGCTCAGGAGTGTGTATTGTGCAGGGCTCAGGAGTGTGTATTGTAGAGGGCTCAGGAGTGTGTATTGTGCAGGGCTCAGGAGTGTGTATTGTGCAGGGCTCCTGAGTGTGTGTATTGTGCAGGGCTCAGGAGTATGTATTGTGCTGTGCTCAGCAGTGTGTATTGCACAGGGCTCAGGAGCGAATAACACACAGACCAGTGTATCTTCTCCTCCAACCCCCAAGTATAGAGCTCACTTTCCAACTCCCTACCCCCCAGTACAGGACTGGTCCTCCAGTTACTCCCGCAGTACAGGACTCTTCCCCTAACTAAAGTTCCCCATCAAATTGCTCAACAGCAGCCAGTACTCACCTGACAAGGGAGATGTTCTCAGTGCTGGTTGGGGTGGGGTTACCACTGTTGCAAAGTTGGTGTGGCTGACCTCCCCCTTTGTGTCATATGGATAGTCTAAGGAGGGAGGATTTCGTACCTGAGACTCTCAAAGAGGCTCACTGTCACTTTTAAACACAGAAACCAGCAGAGAAAATAATTAGTACAGAAAACGTCCTTTACTGGCTTCTCTATTCACAAGTGAGAAGTCTGTGAGCATAGGACCAACGCCTTAGGTGGCATTCTGGCCAAAAAAAAACCTGAATTAAAGTGGTATTAAAGTCACTTTTCTAAAACCAAAGACAGGCCGCATTTTTGTAACAGAAGCAACCCTAATAGTCTCTTCTGTCAAAAATGCCTCTTAGTGGTAATGTGATCTGAGCCCTGCATGTAAAGCTCAGATCACATTTAAAGCACTTGCTCTGTGCCATGGTGACTACTGTGTCACCATGTCCTGGTCATTCAAGTGGCCGGAGAGAGCAAACCCAGAAGGAAGACTGGGTGAAGGCAGAAAAACTTGGGCTGGTTTCACTGGAAAGACTATCATAATATGCTAATATGCAATGCATACTAGCACATTATGGCATAAACTTCCTTGGATCCCATTTAAGGAAAGAAAAAAATAGCAGGGTCTAATATCGCTTCAAAGTATATCTTTTTCCAGTTATTTATTTATTTATGCTATCTGTGTCTCATTAGCGAGCTTTCCCTTTACCTCCTTTACCGTAGATGCAGCAGGATGTGAGAGGATATAGTTACATAGTTAGTCTGGCTGAAAAAAGACAAAAATCCATCCAGTTCAACCATAAAAAATACAAGTTATAATCCTATACCCACAGTTGATCCAGAGGAAGGCAAAAAACCCAGCAAAGCATGATCCAATTTGCTCCTGCAGGGGAAAAATTCCTTCCTAATCCCCTGAGAGGCATTCGGATATTCCCTGGATCAATTTTACTTATAAATGTTAGTATCCAGTTATATTATGTGTAACCAAGAAAGAATCCAGGCCTTTTTTTAAAACAATCCACTGAGCTGGCCAGAACCAACCCTTGAAGGAGTCTAGTCTTTCCAATGTAAAGGAATTCCACTCTTAGTTGTCACCAGAAAAAAATATTGATATTGGAAGATTTCCCCTCTACTCCTGTTTTGTTAGCATCTCAAAGTTTTGGAATTATCCTTATTTTCATTCCTGGTGGCATTTGTGATCAGAAAAATTACAGACAGTGAATTTCCCTGACTGACAATAATGACAAACTGACATGGGCTCTATTCAAATAAAGAAAAAAAGTTTTGGATTTAGTTATACTTTATATGAGGATATTAATATGTGTGGCCACCAACCAGATGAGTAATCTGAGTGAGCCTGACAACCACAATTCTATAAATCATACCTCAGGGTACCACTTTTACCCCCAGTTACCTACCCAATGGGAACATGTTGGAAATACAGTATCTGTAGCATCCTCCTAGATAGGTGCTAGGAGCAGATAGATTCAGTTTTGACTCACTGTACCGTGAAGATGCATTTTTGTGGTTGGGTACATTTAGCTTGTCTCACTGTAATCAGTGTGGCTGCATTTATGGTTTAGGCAAATTTAGTTGTAGCTCCCTGTAGCCAGTGTAGCTGCACGAGATTGTCCAAATTTTGCTCTGTGCCTCACAGGCAGATTAATTGATCTCAATCGCTTAAGGATTGGCTTGATTTTTGAGTCGGACGTAAGTAAGGGCGTTCGGTGCGCTGTTCGTCCGATTTGCTCCCACTGTGCTCTCACAATGCGTTGTGATTGGCCAAAACAATGCACCTGACCAGAGGTCAGGTGAAATGCTTTGGCCAATCACAACACAATTGGGTAGAGCTAGCAGTGACGTCTCTGCCAGCCCCCACACAGTAGTTTACATCTGATCGGCAAATGTCAGATTGCGGCGAGTGCTCGGTGGGGGTGGATGGGTCGGCGGGCGTGGTTTTTAAAAAGAAATTTTGTGAGTCAGTGTCATTGTTACAATGCTGGATGCCCTGTTTGATTATG